AGAGAGAGAGAGAGACAGACAGACAGAAAGAGAGAGAGAGAGGGTGAAGTTTATACGCGTTGAACTTATTGGTATGCATGAGCCAGCCGCGTGTAGGGTCGTAGTGGCCCTTTAATACACCCCCCAGCTCTTTGCCCTCGGCTATCTTTTCTCCTCTAACCTTCCTAAACATAGAAGAGATTCTCTCTCTTTCTCTCATTCTCTCTCGTCTCTGTAACCTCAGTCTATCTCTTATTCTCTTTCGGCTCGTTGCTTTCTCATCGCGTTTACCGTAACTTTCCTCCTATTCGACGGAATCACTATTATCGACCTTAACCGTTATGGAAACCGCGTGTAATAACACAAACCCTGATATCGGAATTTCGAAAAACAAGCCACTCAAAGACCCTCGTTTACAAGAGAAGATTCTCTTTTAAGCGAGAATTTAACGTTACTACGTATAATATAATTTAACAAGTTAACTAACGACAATTATTTTCTATTGGAATTCATAATTTGTTAAAAATATAATTGTTAAATTAGGAAAAATATAGATGTTAAAATTGAGATAAAGGCTTGAAACTTGTGGTGTGGGGGTGGAGATAGGGTTGATATTATTTTTTTATTTATTTATTTCGAAACATATGAGAGAAATTCCTCTTCTCTGGGAATATGAAAATTCAAGAATACTCGAAATAAGCTTGAATCCAATATTTTTCACATTCATTCGCTTCAACGGATAAACGATATTGGACAACATAATTAAGTAGATATAACGTTAAAGTAAATGCGGATATATTATATCGTAATACGTATGTCTTTCCCTCCCCCTACCCCCACCCTCCGCCATAGTAAAATGTTACAGGATGAAAGAGAATAAGAAGGGTTTTTTTTTTGTTTCTTATTACATACGAAGTTTCTCTTCGGCTTATATACGCGTCTCTTGGCATCGTAAACATACCAATATTCTTCAATCTTCTTTAACAAGATGATGTTATCTATGATTTGGACGTTGAAGGATTTAATATGCAGGGTGGACCCATAAATTGCTTTTACAGAAATTTCCTTTAACGTTATATATCTCCTAGCTAGTTAATCTTTTTATTTTCCTTCACTCCTCCTCCTCCTCCCCCTCACCCCTGATATTTTTGTATAGGTATTATTTATTATCAAATAATCGTACATATTATTTTTTTTTATAATCAAACAAAAAGCTTTTATCTGCAGATAAAAACTATATATTTACAGTCCATTAATATTACAAACACACACATATATACACCACACATATACAGGACCATTAAACAAGAGAATAGCGATAACAATCGTTTCATCGATTATCTCATTCGTTGACGATAAAAAACGCGACGCGATTATTAAAACGTTTCCGTAGATATTTGGTCTATATAAAAAAAAAAGAAAAAAAAAAAAAATCCAAGCGAGAAAGAAGAGAAGGGTGGGAGGTTTAGGGATAATTTAGAGAAAGCATCCAACCCCCCTCCCCCCACCAACACCATCGCCACCGCCATCGCCCATCGCTATTGTTCGTTCGGGTCAACGAAGTCATGAAATTTAACGGGAGCCTACTACCAGGGAGGACTCTGTATGTATGTATGTATGTGTGTGTGTGTGTGCTGGAATATTTATCGTGTGTCCGTGTACATTACATCGGTTTAAAACGTGGAAAGAGGAGAGAAAGTACGGAAGAAGGGTGGTAGAAAAGGTTTGTTTTTCTACATGGTGAACGGAGGCGGGGTGGGTGTGTGAAGAGGGAAGGGGGAAGGGGAAAGGGGGCAGAGAATGTAAAAGAAAAATAACTAACCGCCGACGCGCATCGGTGTAATGGATTGTGTACGGAGATAAACATTTCCAACGTCGTTTGTTCACCCTCGTGGTTTTTCAACGAGGAATAACGGAATACACGTTATTTCTACGTGTATATATATGTGATATGTATGTATTTTTATATATGCATTATATTATCTGGATGCATACATACTGATACACGGATAATCAAACGCGTAACTTCGTGTATTTAAACACGCGTTACATATTTCTTTTCGTTTTATCTACTATAAATAAATTGATATCTTTATATAAAACCTCTTGTGTTTAACTTTTTTTTCCGGTATAATTTTATCATAATTTTCCTTTTTATTTTTTTTTCGTTGGGGGTGGGGGGGGGGTTATATTGTCTACGCAGAGTAAAAAAAAAAGGCAAATCATCTTATGACTGATAGATAATCTAATTTATAAGACACCGTGATACGTTTTCATAATTATCTTCGGCGGATATAACTTGTTCGTATAAATCGGGTTAATATCGGATGAGAAACGCAATTTTGTTTCCCATCATGGTATCCGTGTTCGAATCGTTATTATCAGAATTACGAGTTCCCTAATTAGAATGGAAGATCAGAAGAAGTATGGACGTAGTACGATTATGAATGCTTACTCTGGTATTATGTGGGATAGAAATTCACGCTTAAGTGTATATATATGTTACTGGAATAGTGAGAAATTTGGTAATGTTAGCAATACCCCATTATTATCTTTAATGCAAAGAGTTTTTTAATATACAATGTACATATAACATTGGGTCTATCCAAATTCTTATTCTCTTTTCTTTTCATAACTATCCAATCATGAATAAATTTCATACGAATATCCCATAAAAAAAAAAAACAATCTTACAATTCGTAATATAGAATATTAAATGACCATCAGGCTCGAAGAATTTTCTCAGCATTAATAGAATATCGTTCAGCTGGATTCGAATCAACTTCTCCATTGTCAGTTAAATATATCTCAACTTAAAGATAACATAAATTAATGAACATAATATAATAGTAATAGTCAAGCATGTTTTCCTCCTTTTGTAAGGATGATCTCGTATAAAATCTTGTATTTATAGATAAAATCGTTTTCTATAAGAATATTAATGAAAGGAAAAAAGGGGTTCGATAGTTTTACGTCATGGTGTTGGTAGGGGTATTGGTGGGGTGTCAGCTGGCACAAACTGTCGGACATTGGTGGCAGCTGATAAGTGCAATTTCGTTCGACGCGCGTTAACGCATTCCGTGCACGAGGCTACGTGGTTTTCGACAGAAGAGATGGTATAAACGAGAAGAAAAGAGACAGAAAGAGAAAGAGAGAGAGAGAGAGAAAGAGGAATTTAAATGGAAGGTGAATCGAAGGATGCATTCCGTTCGAAAATCGTGGACACGCGCGCCATTGTCGCGAACGTTTTCGAAAGGGCTACCACCCACCATTGTATTTCGACGACAATGCCCTGATGAGCCGGTATTGTTGAACTTGTCAAACTCTGTTTACACTGATCCTGCAAACGAAGAAGGAGAAGTAGAAGTAGAAGGAGAAGTTAAAGAAGGAAAAAGGAGAGAAGAACGAATAAAAAAGAAAAGAAAGTATAATCCAAAAGATATGTGATAATAATATATGTAATATGATATATAATCCAATAAATGGACGAAACGTTTAAACAAGATCAAAAAGTAACGTTCCGATTTCTTTTTTACCTTGACCAACACTTCCCTCTGATACATTCATTAATCATTTTATTTTTCGACTTGATAAACAACTATAATAATTGAATTATATATTAGGTCTACCGGAAAGTTCTGTCCGATTTTTTCTCTTCAAGTTTCAATCGATATAAACATGTTTATTTGAGTCATATATGACTATTTCTCGTTATCAATGCATTTATACACATGTACTCTCCTAAATAAACTGAAAAAGAACCTTCTCATGTCATTGGGCAGTGAGAGGCGATCGTTAAAACATGACTATCAAAAAGTTCATTTACGCCACTGTATTTTGTACAAGCTCCAACAAGGAAGAAATTCTACAGAAGCGTGCCGAAATTTAGTATAAGTTTTTGGTTTATATGCAGTTTAAGATAGAACGTGCAAAAATTGATTTAAAAAATTTGAAGCAGGTGATTTTGACCTTAATGATAAGCCACGTTCAGGACGGCCGTCATTGATCGATGACGACATTATCAAGGCTATGATAGAGCAAAATCCATTTTTGACAACATCGGATATTGCAGAGAAGCTAAGTTCAACTCAACAAACCATTTCCGACCATATTCGGAAGCTAGGATTGGTCTATAAATATTGCAAATGGGTGCCTCACTAGTTAAGTGAAAAAAATTTGAATGACCGAGTCGTCATATGTACATCTCTGCTTGCTCGGTACAAAAACGAATCTTTCTTTGACCGGATGATAACTGCTGATGAAAAACGGATTACATACGACAACATCGTGAGTATATGAGAATATTGCGAGTCCGGAAAGACTACTCTTTCCCCTTCTAATCCGAGCTTGGACCTGAAGAAGAGAATGTTGTGTATATGGTTGGACCAATACATTATAAGCTTCTGAAACCTAATGAAAAGCTTAATTTGGAGAAATACTGTAAGCAAATGGATGATTTAAATAAAGAAATAAGAGAAAAGAGGCTAGCAATGTTCAATAGAAAGCACGTCATACCGTATTTTGATAATGCCAGACGACATGCTTTTTTGGCGACTCGTCAGAAAATCGCAGAGCTAGGCTGGGAAATTCTGTCACATCCACCATGCTCCCCAGACCTTGCACCCTTCGATTATCACTTGTTTTTCTCGTTGTAAAATTTTGTACAGAAAAAAAAATTCAAAATTGAAGATGATGTAAATCAAGCACTAGTTGAGTATTTCGCCTCTAAAAAAAAATTATTTAAAAAAATGGCATTTAAAAGTTGCTATCACGCTGACAAGAAGTTATAAGTAACGATGGGAAAAATATTCTACAATAAATATTATTAAATGTATGAAAATTTTGTTATTTTCTTTCAATTCAAAAACGGACAGAACTTTCCGGTAGACCTAATATATTCTTATTAATGGACAAAACTGTTCGTTCAATTCTATTTTTGTCTTATTTTGTTACTACACACCATCCCGTGTAGAATTGATACAAAAAGAAAAAGAAATTTGAATAAGTCGTCTATTTACACCCGATTTGATCTCAAAGAGAGGAAGAGATAAATAAGGATGCGTTTGGTAGCTAGGCAGCCGAGCTGTTCTTTCGGAAAACAGGGTGAATCCCAGATTTTACACATTCCGTATTTTCCACGCGATTACCCTATACGGATGCGGTGCATTCGTTCTCCACGCGTAATTATCCACCGGCTTTGGCACAAGGCCACGATAAGGTGTATCCGTAATTTTAAAGTAGAAAGAAACACATTGGAATTTTTTCTTTTAAAAGGAAACATTTATATCGTGAAAATACAAAAATGATTTTATTTCAATTCGATTATCGAATTCATTCATATATACAGAATGTCCCATATAACTTTTTTCATGATTTTTCAAGTATTTGCTATAACCTGACAAAAAAATACTTTAAACAAAAGTTGATCTGTTTTTGATTGATAAAATAAAAAAGTATTTTAAGGCTACCTTTATGTTTTTTTGAATGACACTTAGTATTTTTGATTTTACAATATCATAGCCCATATTAATATGAATGTTTTTCAAACTTATCACGTTATTTGGTTATTGAATTTTCTCTTTTCTTTTTTCTTTTTTTCAAAACGAAGACAAAATACCACTACGGTTTGGACAAAGTCGTAAATCTTCGAGCTAGCGTTAATGCCTGCCTCGACAAAGAAAAGTTCGAGAGTATAGAACTTACAACTACTACTACTACTACTACTACTAGAAGAACATACTCGAAAAGAATGACAGTAAAGATAGTGGTAGTAGTAGTAGTAGTAGTAGTAATAGCAATTGCTTGCGGTGGTAGTGATGGTCTGCCAACTCGGAGATATTTTCCGAGTCGTTTGTCTCCCTTGACGCGAGTTAAGTGGAAACTCTTCCTTATAAGCGAATATACGCAGAACCTTTTACAATTCTTTATACTTTTTGTTTTTTCTTTTTTCGGTTGTGTATTTCGTATTTATTTATTTATTTATTTGTCGAGAAGACCAAAAAAAAAATATATAACTAAAATTTAGACTCGACACGCGATTGTCTCATAAAATATATTTTCCTCGTTAGTTTAATTTCTTCTATCTGTATTATTAGTTTGCCAACTGATTGTAAGTTTCCCGTTGGTTTTTGTTTTTCTTGTTTTAAATTTTATCTTACATCTTAAAATATCTTACTGTCAACTAATAATAATTAATTAGTTCGATTAAGTTACTCGTATAACGTTGATTATCTGTGTCATAATTGTTAGATATATGTGTTACCTTCAAAGGTGGTCTTGTGGGATCTTTCCTGAGTTCAGCGTAACGTGCCTCGAAACTATCGTCCCAATATTCTCGGCTTCGCATCCAAGATGGCTGAAAAAGACGAAGAAAAATCGTATTACACATCTCCCGTCATTAACATTTTAATAAAAACAATTTGTACTCTTCGTAAAAAAAATGGTTTAGTTTTTCTTTTTATATGTATCGAATTTTGTTCTCGAACACATATCCACGTACGCACGCACGAGTAGTAGCACGGAGAATAATCTATTTTTATGGGTTTTTCTTTTCCAACGATTTTTCCCAATTTAGAAAAATCAATTTCCAAGTTTTACAAATGGCATTTTCTTTTATAGATAGGATCCAATGACGAAATTCGAAATGAATTTTTAAGATCTCGCAAATTTATTATTATTTAAGTTGGACAAGCTTGTTTTCGAACGAAAGAAGAATCATTTAAGTTGGAAAGATGAACGGAAACAGAAAGAGAGAGAAAGAGAGAGAGAGAGAGAGAGAGAGAGAGAGAGAGAGAGAGAGAGAGAGAGAGAGAGAAAGAAAAAAAAAAGAAAATAAAGCATAGGCTTTAGATCGTCGTTTATGCGATTCGATGCGGTTTAACGCTTCCCTCGGGGGATGGAAAAAGAACGAGGGTGGTACCAAAATCAGGATTCCGTCTTTCTTTTTCATCCCCTCTCAACGAGAGATATCATCGAATAATCCCCGAGCTTGACCGTCCCCCCCCCGAACCCAAGCCAACCCCTAAAGAAGGAATTTCCCCGCCCCCTCGATGCTCCGGGACGAGATCACCGTCTGCCTGCTTTCACTCCACCAAACTTTTTGTCTTTTCCACTATTTTGTTCGGCCCATCAAAATTTCTTCCATGAGCTCGTTCTTTATTTCCACTAACTCACCTCACCTTACTCCACCCCCGCTTCACCACTATTTCAGCTCGTTTATTTTATCCCGTTAACCGTAAAACTTTCGTAATAAGATCCATTTTTTATTTATCCTTTTTCCTAGCGATATTATTGATGATTCTTATTCTCGTTGTTCCGGCATTTTTCCTTTATTCTTTTAATCGTCATTTAATTCCGTCGTTTCAGTGATTTTGAAAAAAAAAGCTTACAAATATTAAATTAATAATTAAGCGATTAGAGATTTTTGAAAGGGTTTCATTGAAAAATAAAAAAATATTTCAACGAATGAGTGCGAAAAAGAGAAGGGTAAATTAACAACAGTTTTTTTCCTATATTTACAATAAACTTGCGTGAAACTGAATTAGGCAATGGTGAAGTAAAAGAGAAAGAGAAAACGTCTTTAGAACATTGAGGGTGCACACCGACATTGCTGTTTCTGGCTCTGAGAATAGGAAGTAATGAGGTAAAACAAAATTGGAATTCACGGAGAGAATCCGATCCTCAGATGGTCTACTACTCACGTTAAATCAACACAGGGAGATAAAGCCTCTTCTACTCAGTGTTTTCTCTTTCTCTCTCTCATTTTATTAGATATATGTGAAACTATAGAGAAACGTATGGTGTATATATATATTTGAATAAGATAGAAGATAAAGATAAGAAAAGAGAGAGAGAGAGAGATGGTAATAATCATTTGATTATCTTGAAATTCAAAGATACCTACTCATGTTTTTTGCAACGTACGCCACTTTCAGAATAAACGGTCCATTATTTTGTTTGACATAATTTTGCTTCGACCTCTTTTTTGTTTTGGTTTAATTTTTTTATTTTTGTATTATAATCCACTCGGAACTTAATCAGCTTTCCAACGCGGGATCCGTTTGATAGAATTTGATTCGTGGCATATTACACCGCAATACATATTATCCGGGCTTGCACTCATTGCAAATAATACTTTCTACGAATTATTATTCATCCGTGGTGACGATAATGTGCTTCGAAGTGGGCGTTACGGCCACGCAAAATCGGCTTAACGTCGAACAATCGATGGAATCGGTATCGATTAGGTCGAGCTCGTATTATCCGGATACTTAATTTGTATTATAAAGAGTAACTGGCATAAACAGAAAGAGAGAGATAAAATAGGAATAACGCGCGTGTGTGTGTGTGTGTGTGTGAGAGAGAGAGACAGTTGAAAATCCACGTTATTTACTACAGAGCACGGTAAAATAAGCTTGGTTATTAATTAATTAGCACGCATGAGCGACGATTTAATTTGCATCAAATTGCAACCGTTTTCGCTATAGGTTTACCCCAAAGCTCTCGAAGTTAAAGCCATGCTAAATGGAGTGGGAGTTGAAAAGGTTTGGGGAAAGGGGCGAATAAGGGGGTTGCTTGCTGCTGCTCCTGCATGCGGGTTCGGATTATGGGAAGTGGAATTCCAGCAACAGGATATCGTTTTCCTCTAGCGTACTTCTCCACCAAAGGAATTCTCTTCTCTGATGTGACATTGCTCTACGTTTTAGAGGGGGAGGATACTCTCGTAGCTACAATTTGCCTGTCATTCCTGAACAACGCAACGTTCATCGCAAATCGTCCAAATTTTCGATATGTCTCCTATATCTTATACATTTTTATTTTAGATACTATATATATATGTATATATGTAAAAACAATGTGTGTACTTTCTTTAAGGGGCACACCTAGTGTGAAATTTTGAAAAAATTGATATTTTTGTGTGCATATTTTGATAGTCTATATCTTTAAAAATAATATATTGAAATTTCAAATAAATATTTCAAATAGTTTTACAGTTACAGCCTTCTAAAGAGTAGACGCTCGGGGATTAGAAAGCATTCATTTTATTAATATATATGAGTTTCAAAGGGAAATTAAAGACATTTAATAAATTTGATGAACAATTTATTATGACCTTGTTAAACGTTTCGTCCCTTACTGGGGACTTCCTCAGCAACTACAAATTTTTTTTTTATATTATTAATTATGACTTGTTAAAAAGATATATAAACATTACAATAAATAAACTTTAATTTTTTAATAAAACTAAAAGACAAGGTTGATAAACTAGAACAATCGAACCTAGTTTACAAAATACCTTGTGTATGTGACAAATGCTAYATAGGACAAACTAAACAAAAATTAAAGAAAAGACTAGAACAACATAAAAATGACTGCAAATCTACAAATGCTCAAAAAAGTAATATTACTGCGTTAGCCGAAC